CCCCTTCCCGGCTTGTCTTCTGTTGGCAAGCAAAAATAGTTTTATTCAGGCAGATTTTTAATGTGTGATCATGGGATGGCTTTTTATATGGGGTGTTTGTTATATGGGGTGGGTATTGTGCTTTTATTGTGGTTTTAATATTTGTAATTTTAAATTGGTTTTATGTGAAGTTTTAATTGTTTAATTGTAACAAGTTTTTAATGTGTTTTTGTTTGTGAGCTGCTTCGGGTCCCTTTCTGGGAGAAAGGCAGCATAGAAATTAAATAAATATATAAATAAATTTTGATGTGAAGTTGTAGGCTTTCATGGCCGGCATCCATAGGTTTTTTTGTGGGTTTTTTTCGGGCTGTGTGGCCATGTTCTGGAAGAGTTTCTTTCTTCCAGAAAGAAACTCTTCCAGAACATGGCCACACAGCCCGAAAAACCCCCACAAAAAACCAAATAAATTTTGAATTCTTGTGGTTTGTAGAAGTAGGAATTGACTACCTCCCTTTTTAAAACAACTCCTTCAAAGCCTACCTGTCTCATGCTGCTCTTCCCTAGCTATTTAGTGGCCAGTGGAGAGAGCATGTGTAGGTATAGAGAAACATTGACAGGTATGTATCTATAGCTAGAATCACAATGTCAAAGACATCCTTTAAGACCTCCCAGGGGTCTTCCAGACATCCTAGAGGATGAAGTTATTATTGTGCATCTAGCCCACAAAGTCAGATGCTTTTCTGCCACCCTGCTGCTTTCCACTGCTCAGTAAATGACCATGGCAGGGGCCCTTCAGAGTGGGAGGGGACCAAGAGGATGGTGTGTAGTTCCACTTGAGTAGAACTTTACCCTATATGATCTTGGCCATTGATTTGGTGGCTCTGGTGGCCAGAAAAGCAATTTATAAATACTCTACTGCATATAAATAAATAAATAAATAAATAAATAAATAAATGCAAACAAATGTAGCTTTCATATATTTTAGACCTTGTTAGAAGCAGGAATGATAAGACTGAGGGATTATGCAAAGGCTTTGCAACAAAGCTGCAATCTGAAAGGACAGCAGGAGAAGAGATAGCATCACACAAGTTCGAAGAAGGACAGAGTTTCCTTCCTCCCAGGTTGGCTATAGTGTTTTGTCTTATCATTCCATTGTTCCTGAGACTAATTGAATTGCCTTAGACTCAGGGTGATTTGAACTGATAGACTGTTGTTTCTTCACACCACTTTGTGGCCCTGTGATTCTCCTCTCTGAAGTTTTATTAGCTACATAACTGACTAGTGAATATCCACTCTGTATGATTCATCATGGAAAGATTCTGAAAATGCCCTTGTACTCTTATCTTCCCTTTCAGATCCTGGGACAACACACCCAGTGCATGAATCCTGTATGTCCCACCCAACAATACTTGTAAATATGGGAGTGGAGCATCTATCTAATCTTGATAACATTTGTCTTTTATTTGGCGAAAATGTATTCTCCCCCCTCTTCTAACTATGCTCAGATCTGATGATTTTGTTAGCATCTTCTGTGTTAGAAAATGAAGAGTTCCACAGTATTTCAGTAGATTTATACTATTGTACATGATTTCCACAGCTATGTATTTCAGACAATCATAGCATGGGAAATTTGTAATTTGGCCCAGAGTTAACCACTTTAAGCTTTCATTGGTCTCAATGTAAGAGTTAAGCTTACAGAGAGTGGGGGGGAAGAAACCCCAAGTTGTTTTTTCTACCTCTAATACAGTGTTGTCTGTAATTGCCACAGCATTGCTTGTGACCCTGTGAGTACCAAACACTGTCAGCCCTACTACCATGCCAAAATAGGCTCTACACCTTGTGTGTATGTGTGTATAAATGGAGGTGTGTACTAAGCTCTGGGCTATGCCAACTCATGTACCTAAATCTCTATGAGAAGTGAAA